CTCGCCTGCCCCTGATTGCGGCTCAGCAAACTGCTGGCGGGTGGAGCGAAGGGAGGACCCAGTTTTTACCTTAGGAAGCACCCGCCTCCCCGCAGTCTGCAGCAGGGCCGTGCGCACAGCCCTGGGAACTTGGCAGGTACCCTCCGGGTGGTGCAGGCTGGACATGCGTCACTGCCAAGTCCATATTTCAAGATAACTGAACACTGTTGCTTGATTTATCAACAGTACACACTATTGCCACCTCACTTCGTAAGCTTTGCGCTGACGGTATCTTCTCTACTCTCTTGTTGGTCCGTTAGAGACTCAGGAAAGCTGTTTCCTCTGCACCTCCGTTCCTCCTTGCAGAAAGTTCTCGATTCCACTTGCTCCCCCTACTTCAGAGGAGCACGGAAAGGGAGTGAAAGTATTTGTGGGATGCTGGGCGTTATCTGCAGATCAGTGCTGTTTGTGAGTCAGGAAGGGCTGCCACCAGCTTGGGTGTGCGACAGAGCCAACATAAACACTGTTTCCTTAAAAGGGAGCATGATCATCTGTGCTTACTGACTGCACCACTGGCCGGACTGTTTACACACAGCGGACTGTCAAGAATTCAATGTCAGCTTCAATGTCAGGAGCCGGCGGCAGCGTGGCTCTCTAATGCAGGTCAAAGTTCAAGTCCTTTGCAACAAACAAGAGCTGACATTCCCTCCACGATGCCATCCCTGCAGACACGCTCCTCCTATGTCGTGCTTATCTGAGCTGTACTGTCAGCTAATGAGATCCCCAAGGCTGAAAACATCTGATGGAAAAGGATGTTTAAAGCTGAGCGGGTCCTCTGGCTCTCACGGGGGCAGTGATGGGTCATGGGTGGAGTGGGGCTGCTGAAGTACCCACAGGATACCACAGTGATGACGTAGAGATGTCCTGTGACATATCCCAAGACCAGACCATGAGGCCAGGGCCATGACCCGAAGTTAAGGTTCTGTGGGACGCTTTTGGGAAAGATGTTATTTATAGTAGCAGACAAGCAAAGTTTCCCCGCCCGTTTATCTTTACCCTCTCCGTTCACAAAGGGTGGCTGAAGGGCAGGGAGGTGCTCTGAGGTAGCCAGAGTGGTGAAGATTAGGGAAAACCTGGCTTCTACTTTTGTGTGTGTGCATATTTTATGTGTGCAAAATCCAATGACTATTCATTAAGCACTGGGCGTGTGCCAGGTACTTACCAGGAGCTGTAGAATACAGGATGTATAAGATACAGCCCCTGTCCTTACACTCGGCACAGGTTATTAAGAAGGAACAGAAAGGACACAAAGGTCTCCATTAGGCTGAAACAAATGACAGTGATATTAAATCCAAAGCAGAGTCAAAGATAGGAAATTTCATGTTCAATGCTAATCCTTGTTGGCATAAAATAAAAGCCATGAGAGAATACAAATAAACACCAGATGCTATTCTAATTACTTTAAATATATCAACACTTGTAATTCTCACAATACCTTTATGAGTTAGGTACTGTTAGCATCTCTATTTTAGAGATAAAAAAAAGGCAAAACAGAGCAGCACCAAGGTAAGGAGAGGTCATGCAACTCAGGTAAGATGATGCAGGAGGACGCGGTACATCTGGGATGAACCCAAGCCTCCTGCTCCAGAGGCTCAGCTCTCCTAGAGCTGTGTAGACAGCTCTGCCCTTGGGAGGGAGGAAGAAAGGGTGATGGAGACACCAGGGTGGAAGTATACGTTCTCTGGGGGGAACCAGGAAAAGCCTTATGGACAAAGTGATATTTGAAATATGCCTCCAAGGTAAAATCCAGGAAGAATTTTTCCCAACTGGAAGGTAAGCAGAGGGAATTCCCGGCGAAGGAGTGGTTTTGAACAGAGATGATGCAGCAGGAACGCATGGATACAGACGTAGTGTACACAGCACACAGGCTAGGAAGGCATTTGGGATCTGTGCTGTGGACTTTCTTGAAGGCCGGGGAGACGCCTTTCTTCATGGTTTAGGAAACACTGGCAAGCTACTGAAGGTGATCAGGTAGAAGTATCACGGGATCAGGGGCCGGCAGGAAGAAGGACGGGGAAGCAGACTGTAGAAAAGCTTGGAACAGGGAAAAATGCGAGCCCAGTCCAGTTTGGCTCAGTGGTTACAGCATCAGCCTGTGGACCCGTGGGTTGCGGGTTCGATTCCGGTCAAGGACACGTACCTTAGTAGTGGTTCATCCCCGGCCCTGGTGCAAGTTGTGCAGGAGGGAGCCAATCAGTGTCCCTCTCATATCGATGTTTCTCTCTCTCCCACCCTCCCTCCCACTCTATCTGAAGATAGATTGAAAAATATCCTCGGGTGAGGATTCAAAAAACAAAAACCAAAAAAAAAAAAAAAAAGAAAGAAAAATGGGAGGTAGGGAAGAAAAACAAGGAGGCGAGGACAGGAGTTGAGCTGGGAAAGAACAATAAGGAACATAAGGACCCGAACAAGCACGCTGACGGCTGCTCTATTACATTCTTGTTTCTCAGCAGTTTTCCTAACTGTTCTCCCGATTGTGAGGGGGCTGCCTGCGCCCTGGTACAAAGCAAGCAGTTCCTTTGCTGGGCCTGTCTAACGTGGCATCTGTGGGAATCTTTTCACAACCTAACTCTGACCTCGGCCATTGATGTTTATGTTCACAGTGTCTGTTTGCATGAAATCTTGGACTAGTGCATGCTTCAAATGCCAGTCAATGAAACTTTAGTTTTTCTCCAGTTAAAGATTCATTTTACTTGGATACTGAGCACATGCGCACTTCCAAAGTGATATGTAATGAACACACTGAAAAGGAGCCGCTTTACATAGTGAGAGGGAGAAGCCCCCCCAGAAAGACGTGCCGTGATCTAAAATGCTCTCCCTTTATATATGTTTAATAAGTCATGTATTTGGCCCAAATGATCATCAAATGCCTCTCCCAATAATCAACTATGACTGAGAAATAAAATTATTGGAAAACACAAAGAACGTGCAACCATCCGCCATCTTCAGAAACACGAAAAATGTTTTGCTTTTCTCTAGAAGATTCTAGCCATCCTTATCACTCTCCCCACCACACAAAGCAGCTTCCTTTGTGGTTTGTCCCATGACCCTCTGAAAGCATGACAAAGATGCCTGTGTGTCTCTTTAAACTGTAGACTCCCCCAAGTTCCTTCTTATCCTAACTCTGTGTTTTGCTCACACCAATGCCTTGACAGGTGACGTATGCAGAGCCACCCATGTGTGTGGGCTGGCAAGTCCTCATGGGACTTTTAAAAATAGCACATTCTTTCCAGAAAATATTTCTTAAGAACGTGCTCTGTGAACAGTGACAGAGACACAGAGACACAGCGAGGTGATGGGAACACGGGGGCTGTTGCATCTCAGTGAGGTGCTCGAATAGTAAAGGCAGCCCTGTGTCCAGGTGCATGCCCTGTGGGAGGTGCCCACTGATACGGACACACCTAGCGACAGGGTTCCTTTAGCCATCAGTTCTGGGACAGAGGGCAAAAAACTTTGATAAGAAGGACACGATTCTTCCTTGTGCGGGGAGATCAGTGTCTGTGATACACCACACATGAAGGATCACGAGCCAGTATTCTTGCTCATCACAAAGACAGAAAATTAACACGTGCCAAATGACTGGCAGAAATTTCTTCGCCACTTCCACCATACCACAGGCTGTACTTCAACGAGGCTCATAGCTTAGGCTCCTCAGACCCCAGGACGAAGACAATGGATCTGGGGGGCACACTACCGCTTTGGGGCAACCTGAAGGGCGGTGTATTACGTTTGCGCGTGAGGAGGGGTCCAGTGGGGGATGCAGTAAATCATGCTTCACGATGCCTCCTCATTTCCTTACAGAAAATAACGATAACTCTTTCTGCTTGCTGCGTGAAGAATGCAGAGTAATCTAACCGGGATAACCCAAACATAACCAACAGCCACCCATTTTCAACCCCTCACGTTCACCAGGGAGCAGAGCAACTTGTCCGATGCTCTAGCATGGGGGTTGTACAGAGTTTGTGGTCTGGCATGACTGACAACTGGGTGACAGCACCAACCACCCGTTGGGGTCACATCCAAGGAAATGATGTTTATATCTTCTATTAGAAATGTACTCTGCAGTTGAGTCATAAAATCCCAATTATGGTTTCATGACACCCAGAATTACCCATGGAACAGCAATGGCTTCAATTCATTTGGGTGCTTCATCTTCTCTTCCTTTGTTGTAAAAAGTGGACTCCAGCATTTACTTCAAGTCATGCAAAAATCCACCCCTAGGGTTTAATTACAGGGACCTACTATGTGATCAGAACATTTTTAGTTCATGCGAGGGATTTAGAAGAAGCATAAAACATGGCCTTGGCCTTAAAGCTCAACAGAATTAATTCATTCAGCAATCCCACCCAACTCTTGAGTTCTGTGCAAGGTATTAACATGGGCACTAGAATGTCACGAGGTAAATGCTGTCATGCAGCAATGGACCAAGTTCCGTGGAAGCAGGAGGCAGAACAGGTCTTTGGGCCTAGAGGATGATGCTTGAGTTCAATCTTGGGGAGGAAGGGGAGACTGTCAAGGGACAAGAGAGAATGGGCAAAGGCATCAAGGCAGGATTTTGGAGCATAAGAACAATTTGGTTGAAGGTACGAGTTTACCTGTCAACATGATGGCCAGGTAAAGAAATATTTCAAAATAACAATGACAATACAATATAGGATTTGTACAAAAGAGACAGATTCCTAATGGTCAGTCTACATAAATTATTTCATTCTCTTCCCCTTCTGATTACCTTGGCCTTACTTACCTTCTAAGGACAAGCCAATTAGAGAAATAAAGAAGCAGCCTTGCAGAAAAGTTGAAAAAGACACTCTGAGAAAGAACCTTTAGTTTACCTGTGCAGTTTCAATCACTCATCCATCCCGTAACTATATCCCAAATAAAACAGGGACAAGACAGTAGCCTGAATCACAGAAAAGCATAGACAATATTGCTGAGGGCAGAAAGAGGACTACAATTCTTACTTGTCCCTGGGCGTGGATGAACTCTTGGTAGACTCTGCGATGCTCTGTCGAGGTCAGCTGGTATGGCTGGAACAGAAAGAGAAGAAAACCGTTAGTCATCCCTGTAAAGAGGTCTGATGTGGTCCTGTTACCATCTCACTTTCCAGTGACGAAAGGTGACATGGGCCAGCCTCACAATAGTCGCCCACCTCTTTTCCTTCTGTCTTTTAAAATGAAAATTGGGAGACCAGATGGCTGACGCCTAAGGAAGTTCTGTCTGCTCGCTCCTAGCACAGGACCGGACTTGAGGCTAAACTGCAGAACTTACACCTTGAAAAACCACCTGAAATAGCTGATTGGAAACACTGCCAGCAAGGAGCGTGGAGAGGGGGCAGGAGACGCCAAGTGGGTGAGCGAACTGGGAAGACGGAGGGAAGGGGCAGTGACGCAGGGACTCGGCCACACAGAGATCCCCAAATGCCTGGGAGCGGGGACTCGGGCCCACACAGAGATCCCCAAATGCCTGGGAGCGGGGACTGGGGCCCACACAGAGATCCCCAAATGCCTGGGAGCGGGGACTCGGGCCCACACAGAGATCCCCAAATGCCTGGGAGCGGGGACTTGGGCCCACACAGAGATTCTCAAACAAGAGCAGCAGAGAAGGGATGGGGAGCCCACGCAGCGTCAGACAGTGGGCGTCAGAGGTGGCTTGGCCCACCCGAAGGGATGGGGAGCCCACGCAGCGTCAGACAGTGGGCGTCAGAGGTGGCTCGGCCCACCAGAGGCTGCAGCACTGTCCCAGACTAAACGCCAGTGTGTGGTTACACCACCAGCCTGGAAAGCTCCCGACTGTGGGAGCCGGAGAACCCACAAAGCAGAATGGCACACCTGGGGAGGGGTCAGGAAGTGTGAGGGGCCAGGTATTCCCTGAAAGAACTTTGCGGGGCGAACCAGAGTGCCAGGAAAGAGGGGAGTTCCTCCCCACCTTGAGCAAAGAGAAGACGGCCCTTCCCCCACCCGTGGAAAAGCGCCGGCCTGGAAATCGACACCCCAGCAGCAGGGCCTCGTGGCACTCGGGATTCGGACCTCTGGCTGGATAGGAGACTGGGCAGAAGCCCTGTCCAGCAAGAGCCGGCTGTGCTGAAAGATTAAAGAGCCAAGCAGGGCCTTGTTTTCTTCTTTTTTCTCCTTTTATTTTATATTCTCCCCTGTTTGGGGGAGGGACCAGGGGGTGACAGCAACCCAGGCAGAGCTGAGGCCTTGGAAGGAGAGGAAGAAACTGCCTGCCCCTCCTAGAAGCCACCACCAACGCAAATCTGTGTAACCACCCTGACCGGACCTGATACCCTGCAGAGCCCAGCAGAAAGCCGCCCAGAACTAATGCATACAAGTGGCTAGCCCTGAAGGCAACCCAGCCTCTGGCTAGGGAAGCCCCGCCCACTGGGCTACCTGGGATCCCGCGCCGCAGGGCGTCAGCCAGGAGTCCCAGGGCCAGGACAGTGATCCACATTGGCCTGCACCAGAGAACTGCCCAAGAGGACAGGGACCCACACCCAAGGGGCAGATCCAACAACATCGGAGCAAAATCCAGTGAGCTCCATAAATAGCAGAGCCAAGGGTTTTTTTTGTTGTTTTGCAGTGTGTGTGTGTTTTTAATTTTTATTTTTAATTCAAATTTCTTCTTCTTCTTTTCCTTCCCCATTGTATACTTTCCTATTCTATATCTTATTCAATTTAGCATTATTACTTTCTCAAATTACTATTATTTCAGTCATTATTTTCTACCTTTTATTATTTATTTTTATTTTCTTAATTCTTACTTTATTTCTGGTATCTGCCTTCTTTGCTTTCATATTTGTTTTTCTTCTTTTCTCTCTCTCCTAACTCTTTGGTCTCATGACTTATAGTATTCTCTCTCTCTCTCTCTCTCTCTCTCTCTCTCTCTCTGTGTGTGTGTGTGTGTGTTTTCTGTTTGTTCGTCTTTTAATCTTTTTGCTGAGTTGGTGCTTTTATCATTGTGGATGCTGACATTTTTTTCAGGTGCTTTTTAGTTTGGTCTGGTTTTTGCCTTGACTTCTTTACTTTCATATACATATATTTTTCTCCCTCTTCCCATTCTTTTGGTCTCATGCCTTCTAGTTTTCTTCTTAGTGTGTGAGTACAGATGGGTGTGTATGTGTGTCTTCAGTTTGTTTGACTTTTAATCTTTTAGTTGAGGCTGGTGCTTTCATCATTGCTGCTGTTGATTTTTTTTTTTTCAGGTTCTTTTTGGTTTGGTCTGGTGTTGCCTTGACTGACTTACTTATTTACTTACTTATTTATTTATTTTTCTCTTTTCAACCTCTTCTAATTTGTTTGATCTCACACCTGCTAGTATTCTTCCTGTGTGTGTCTGAGTGTGCTTTTTGTTTGTGTGCCTTTTAATCTTTTTGTTGAGGTGATTGCTGTTATTGTTATTGATGCTGATTTTTTTGGAGGGGATTTTTTTAGTTTGGTCTGGAATTATTTTGTTTTGAACTGTCAATACCAATATAACAGTTGGCAAGACAGGGTCGACAGGGTAGGGGTTGTGACTCACAATTAACAGCCCTGAGGGCTGAGCCCACCCACAAATGGACAACAGCAATCAAGACCCAGATTCAACAGGAGAAGCACACACACCCACCCACATTCAACAGGAGAGCACACACACCCCACCCACATTCAACAGGAGCGCACACACACCCCACCCACATTCAACAGGAGAGTACACACACCCCACCCACATTCAACAGGAGAGCACACACACCCCACCCACATTCAACAGGAGAGCACACACACACCCACATTCAACAGGAGAGCACACACACCCTACCCACATTCAACAGGAGAGCACACACACCCCACCCACATTCAACAGGAGAGCACACACACCCCACCCACATTCAACAGGAGAGCACACACACCCCACCCACATTCAACAGGAGAGCACACACACACACCCACATTCAACAGGAGAGCACACACACCCCACCCACATTCAACAGGAGAGCACACACACCCCACCCACATTCAACAGGAGAGCACACACACCCACCCACATTCAACAGGAGAGCACACACACCCTACCCACATTCAACAGGAGAGCACACACACCTCACCCACATTCAACAGGAGAGCACACACAACCCACACAAGGGCCATTCCTAGAGCACCCAGCTCAGAAGATCAAGGAGACTACTCTACTGTGTCCCACAATGAGGCCACCACACCAAGAATGGGAGGCATAGCAGCCTTATCTGATACACACTGACCAGCCTACATGACCCAATATACCTTACCTGGCCCTGAACTGCCAGACTGTTAAAATAGTGAGACAAAGAACAACCCCCAAGTGAAAGAAAAGGAAGAATCTCCAGAAAAGGAAGAATCTCCAGAAAAGGAACTACATAAAATGGCGGCAAGCAGTTTGTCAGATAAAAAATGCAAAGCAATGGTTTTAAAGGTGCTACCTAACTTAGTGAGAATTACAAGCATCTTAATGAGAACTGCACCAGCATAAAAGAAGAGGTAGAGGCGATGAATAAAAATGAAGTGGAAATGAAGAATGACATAGGTAATATAAAAAATACCTTGGAAGGATTCAGTAGTAGATTAGAAGAAGCTGAAGACTGAATCAGTGAGTTAGAAGACAGGGTGGAAAGAAAAAACCTATTAAAAAAATTAAACTGATCCAGAGACATGGAAGTAGGGAACAGACTGACAAATCTCAGAGGGAAGGGGGTAGGGGGATAGGAAGAGATAAACCAAAGAACTTATATGCATATATGTACAACCAGTAGACACAGACAACAGTATGGTGAAGGTGGGGGGCAGGGAGAAGAGTAATAATAGGGGAAAAAAGAAAAGACATTTATAATAAAAAAAGAGATTAAAAAGAAAAAAAAGCAAATCTATAGCATAATAATAATAAATAAAAATAAAGCAAACAAAATAAAATTAAAATTGCACCTGCCTTCTAAAAAAACTCATAAATATCAGAGCAAGAGGAAACATTATGATCTTAGTCACCTCTAGACACAGTCAGGAACAATAAAAAAATGTCTTCCTATATCATTTGAGTCCAAACTTGAGTCTTGCTTATAAAAAGGAAGCATATCAAATCTTATTATTATTTTTTTTAATTTCCTTCAGAAAACTTTATGCTTGGCAATAAACATGTGAGCAATTCTGGGAGTAAGGAAAGAAGGAGGGGAAGTAAAAAGTTGGATGCGGGACACAGAACTTTATGATGTGAGATGGGCAATGAGTCATCTATTATATAAGCAGTTATAATTTTATTGACCCTAGTATTTGGTTGCACTCAAAACAGCAAAAAATGAAAAATGATCAGGGTAGTTGTCACTGAATTGTTGAATTGGGTTGCTTTGCAAGCATCTCAGCTACAAACTATGCGTTACCTGGTGAAGACGGAGGTTTCTCTGGGATTCCCCACCCCTGATCATGTGATCTGTGGGTTATTTTTAAAGAGGCAGCAGTGGTCCAGGCCCATGACAAATACCGAGCTTTACCTCACAACAGTGAAATGACATGCTTTTGGTCTTCAATAGATGCCGACAGTAACAATGCTAAGAAACCTTTCTGTAATATGAGAAAAGGAAGAGGAAGACAATGAAGATGCACGGGCGGTGAGCGAACCCACTCCCACCTTCCTGAGTATCAGAGTTGGCAGAATCCTGCCCACCGCCCTGATCCACATTTCAGTGTGCTTTTTCACCCCTCCCCACCGAGCTCAACGGGTCTGGAATTCATAGCATAGAACCAGACAGGTGAAGCTTAGACCTTTCGTTCAACACCACGGCGCTCTAACCCTTGGAAGTGTCTTCGGTCTGGGCACAGTGGTGAGAGTCTTCTTCCAAGTAAAGTTAAGCTTTGTGGGCTTTGGTGAATTAATATTTTTAATTCTAGATGACTATTAGTTCTGAAAGAATTTCTTTTTATCCTCTCTCCAAATTTTACCATTAGCTTCATCTGCAGAATCTCATTTACTCCCGAATGCAATAACGAATTAGGACCCAAAGATTATAAACTACGCATGGATTTTAACG